TGGCTGTGGCTTTTCATGATTGCTTTAAATAATCTAGAGTTTTATGCTGTGGGTTTTGAAATCTGACTTTGTTTCAGATGAAGTTCTATAAATAAATATTTTATTAAAATTCCTAGTCAGGAGGGCTGGGGATGTAGGGTCAATGGTAGAGTACTTGTTTAGTATATGTGAGGCACCTAGCTATAAAATAAATAAATATAACCCCCTGTGCTGCTAAATAAACACATATATACAACATACTAAATATTGGAGAGAAAGGTACATTTGTGTGCATAAAACTAAGTTTACGACCCTCAAAGAAACATTTTATTGCACAAATACTACCTACAATAAGAACAAACCACTGGTTTAGACCCTTACACAAATGAAAGTGACACAATGTTTGTGACTTTGTCCTCTCTGTATTTCTAATATTTGAACCTGAACTTGAAGAATTCATTCATTCAGAAGCAGGAGTAAAATAATGAAGTAATTTTTTAAAAAAATACACCAAAATTCTCAATCATTTTACCTCTGACAAATTATCTTCCTTGTTATTCATAAAATATCAGTTAATTTGGTTTTAGATAGTCAATCATTTTAACACTAATCAACTTTCATAATGTGAACTAAATAACAATTTTATTGTTTGTTTCTGTAGAGATATCTATCACAATTTTGAAGTCATGGTATCTATCATCACATGCAGCTGCACATGGAGCTTTAGCATTGATATGGCTTTCCATGTTATCAACACAGGAAAATTAATAATTTTTTCTTGGTTAATATCCAACCACCCAAGTCCAAATTTATATTCATTTTCTTATACACACACACACACACAAAAAAAAAAAAAAAAAGAAAAAACTAATATAGTGGGCCAAAGGGGACTTAAAGTCTGACTTTTTAAAAGTAGATTTTCATACAAATTACAGTAAATAATTTTTAATATCAAAGAAAAAAGTAGATTTTCATAACACACACACAAGAGTTGAGGAATATGATGCCAATCCCCAAAAACCAAATGCCGAATGTTTTTTCTATTATAAGGAGGCTGATTCATAGTGGGGTTGGGAGAAGGAGCATGGGAGGATTAGAGAAACTCTAGATAGTGCAAAGGGGTGGGAAGGAAAGGGAGGGGGCAAAGGGGTAGGAAAGATGATGGAATGAGATAGACATCATTAGCCTAACTACAAGTATGAAGACACAAATGGTGTGAATATACTTTGTATACACCCAGATATGAAAAAATGTGCTCTATATGTGTAATATGAACTGTAATGCATTCTGTCATATATATCAAATTTGGGTTGTGGCTCAGTGTTAGGGCACTTGCTTAGCGTGGATGAGGCACTGGGTTCGATCCTGAAGACTACATAAAAATAAAGTCACAGTGTCCATCTATAACTGAAGTGTGTGTGTGTGTGTGTGTGTGTGTGTTTATTTATTTATTTGTTTATTTATTTACTTATAATGCTATACCAAGTTATAAAGAACTGAAATGCAAAATAATGTTTTGTTTTGTTTGGCAGGGAAGAGTACTGGGTATTGAACCGAGAGGTGCTTAACCACTGAGCCATATCCCCCAGATATGAGACAGGCTCTCGTGGAGTTGCTTAAGGCCTCGATAAATTACTGAAGCTGCCTTTGAACTTACAATCCTCCTGCCTCAGCCTCCTAAAATGCTGGATTACAGGCCTGCACCACCACACCTGGCTGAAATGCAAAATAATTTTAATGAAAAGTATCCAGGACTGGGCCTAAAATTTGTAGATTTTAAAAACAAATGTTACTATATTTATAATTACAATATTTATTAAGGTAGTTTGTTAAAAAACTGGGCAAAGTCTGAATTTATTGCCAAAGTAATAAAAATCTAGATTTACTTGCCTTATAGTACCAATCCTGAAATTTTTTACAGCAGTCTTCACTGCAGAAATCTCTCACAACACCATCAAGTTCTTTAGTTGCTCCCTTCTTACACAGCTGAGAACAATAGTTGCAGGTAACACACCTTAATCCTAAACGCCTTGCAAAATCCTGTTTGTATAATAGTTTGCAGCCTGAAAAATATAAGTTTTAAATATTAAAACAAAAAACACATGAAAAGTAGATCATTAGTTTTAGGAAGTATCTAATAAATTCACATATAAGTCCTTTCTCTCCCAGTCAAAACTCTAAAATCTATCAACACCAACCTGTAAAAACTGGAATAGAATATGGAATATTCTATTATTATAATATTCTATTATTCAAAAACATTTAATGTGTTGGTTCAAACAATACTTTAAGATATTAAAATCTAGTAATATCTCAGAACTATTTTTTAAAATTTTTTTAGTTGTTGATGGATCTTTATTTTATTCATTTATTTTTACGTGGTGCTGAGAATTGAACCAGTGCCTCACACATGCGAAGCTCTATCACTGAGTGCTCTATCACTGAAGTGCTCTATCACTGAGCCACAACCCCAGCCCGGAACTATTTTTATTTGCTCCATTAAATAGAATCTAAGTATCAGAGAAAGCAAAACACAAACAAGCATTTTAGAGAAATGAATAATGCGGAGTGCTAACAGGCTCCAAGTAAATTTACAGACATGTTCAGCTAGCTAGGTAAGCATTTTAGTCAAATTTTCTAGCTTACCTGTTACCCTACATCAATCCTTCCAAGAAGTACAAATGGTTTACTGACTTGTCCAGAGAAAATCCTATTATCTATTCTCTTAATAAAATAACTTCTTTTACTTAATGCATATAAGTATTAAGAATTTTCACAAATCTAATAAATGCCCTATAATATCTGAGAATTAAATGATCTTCCATATTGTACTCATGACTGTGCTACGTAAGTAGAATGACTTTTTATTCATTTATGTATCTAATGAAATCCTACCCATCCTATAACAACAAGCACAAAGGACACCTCCACAACAAATTGTCCTCAACTTAGTTTTAAATTATCTTTCCTACTTGTGAACATGAATTGCAATTTTTTGTTTTTTGTCTTTGGGGTTTTGTTGTTTGGGTTTGGTTTTTTGTCTCTTGTTTTTTATTTTAGGTACTGGGGATTGAACCCAGAGGCATTTAACAACTGAGCCTCATTCACCCCCCACCCCCCCGCTTTTGTGGATAGGGTCTCACTAAATTCCTCAGAAGCTTGCCAAGTTTCTGAAGCTGGCTTCACCATCCTCCTGCCTCAGCCTCCCAAACTGCTGGGATTGTAGGTGTGCGTCACCACACCTGGCATGAATTGTAATTTTTTATGTAATAAATTTTCAATCATTAGTATTAAGACTTTTCTGTTATTTTTGAATTACTTCAAAGTACTTTTAAAAATTTACCTTTATTTACTTTATCTACTTAGATTTTGGTGGTAATACTAGGTATGTTACTTCTGAGGTTTGAGCAGAAAACTAGGTGGAGTAAGAGAAAGCAAAAAATGGCATTTCACAGGGAAAAAAAACACATCCTTTTTAACTTCTTATTACCCATCTAAAATCTTAAGTCCTTCCAATAGAAAATTATGCTCTTACATGTCAATCATCAGTCTGCTACTCTCTAATAATTTTAGTAAAATACATATGAAATATAAGTTCATTGACGTATGTGAACAATTAACATCAATGTGTTCAGACCTGTGAACCAGGAAGACTGTTATTGCACAAAAACTTAGGTGTAAAAAGAAAAATTTAGAATTAATCTTAATATTTTAGGATTTATCATTTTTCATTATACCTTTATTCTTAAACAGTAGTAAAACATGGTTGCCTTTAATTCTAGGTGAAATGTACCAATTAAACCTAAATAGAATGCCTTATTTTATATATAGTACCTTCTTACAAACATAAAATATTAGATGTGAAAAGTATATATAATTGGTGCCACTAGTTGAATGGCCTCATAAATCTTACTGACTTTTCATTCCCTATTGCTAGCATCAAGAATTTTCCAACCTTTCTCTTGCCCCAAACTAGTAATAGAAATCCATAGAATAAGTAGATCTAGAAAAAAAAAATCATCACTGGAAAACAATAGGTGAAGATAGAAGATAGGAAAGCTAAAAGCTCAGTGACTTGAGCCAAAGACAGAATAAAAAGTGAAAGCCAGCTTAGAATAAGAATGTGACATTTGAGAAATACATGACAAGAGCACAAAAAACCCACAGCTACAATCCTGGTTCATATCTCTGGAAAGGCAGGTTTAGAGTTCATTTCTATAATCTGCTGCCTGGCACCAGAGCAGCAAAAACTAAAGAAGAGAAGAAAGGAAATTCTTGAATATGCCTATAACAGAACCCAGAATATCTCCCAGGCAACCCAAATTAAAAACTTAAAATTTTCCCACTGTAATGCTGTTGCTGTAAAAATGTGGATTTTTTTCTCTCAGATTAAGTGTTCCTTATCTGAAATACATAAGGACCAATTGGGTTTCAGGTTTTAGAGTTTGTTTGTTTTACTATTCTCAGATTTTACTGAGCTTCTCTAATACAAAAATCCAAAATCTGAACTACTCCAAAATCCAAAATTTTAGGAGCATCATGTTGACACTTAAAAAGTTTTGAATTTCAGATTTTCAGATTAGGGATGTTCAACCTATATATTGAAAACCTTTGAAGGCTAGGCAGTAAAAAAAAAAAGCCAGGTAGGCACATGAAGCGAATGAACAACTGTTCTAATTCACTTAGAAAACAAACTTTCAGGCCACAATGTATAGGTTCAGAGATGGCATGGTATCATAATGCTTATATTTGAGTCTCAAAACTTCCTTGTAATGAAAAAGTGGTTACCAACATTTTAGAGAGAAAACCTTGAGGCCCAGAGGTCTAAAATACATATAGAATACAACAAAATAAGTAAAAAAGTAAATTCAATTTTTTTTTGTTCAGCTATATTAAAAATTGTGCAGCTGGACATAGGTACTCATATATTTTTAAAAATACTTTGGCAAAAAAAAAAACATTAAATATCAATAAAGTTATGAACAACACTGTATATACACTTGCCTTCACTACAGAAAGGTCTCTTAACGCCAGAGAAATTTACTGTTTCATGAAGAGTCTTCTCCTCTTGACAGTATTCGCAATATGTAACTATGCAATGCAACTTCTTATAGTCATCTGAACAAGTTTTGCTGCAGAACTGATGCACTTTGTTCTAAATGCACAATGGGAACCTTGGTGAGTATATGACAACCACCTCAATAACAAATTTCAGAAATAAACAAGCTACTTTTATAGAAACAAAGTTAAATCATTTACCTATTTTAATATAGTATCCTTGGGTATACATTTCCTATAGGCCACAGACACCTAGTTTAACCAATTCACTGCTAAATATAAAACAGCTCTACAAAATTCAACACCATTAATCACGCTGAAACAGTGAAAGTATCACTATAATAAGATGGCAATCTGATATTTCTAACAGAATTTGATAAACAGGAAGGAAACAATAGAACATGAGTAAGTTACAGAAAGATGAGAATTATGGTACTGATAACATTTTCAGTCAAAAGGAGATTTGTTTGAGTAGATTCAATCACCTTTCTGTCACACCATGATACATTCCTGTAACAGATCTATCACAGCCAAAGTATTCAATTTGGTGCTATCCCATTGTGTGCTGTGAAACTTGAGACTGAGTTGGTTTTTCCTTGATTAGAACACGATTTACTAATTATTATTTATCCTGGCCCCAAACCCATAATAGCCAAAGCTACTTTTCAAATACCCAGTCAGGTAGTTATAAATAAACAAATGAAAGCTACCCAGAGGCAGGTTTTTTTTCCTCCCATTATTAGTGGAGGATACAGGTTACGTCTAAAACATCTACCTAAGAAATCTGAAGATCAAAATAAGCAAGGTGAAAGAGCCTAGGTATAAACTCAAAATAGTTAAGATAATCATCCATGGAAAGTTGCACCCCACCTCCCACCAAAAACAAGTTGCCCCATTATAAATATGTAACTCATAAGAGGAAAAAGGCAACAAAGAAACCACAACTGCCAACATGGAATAAGTAGCAGCAAGGGGAACTGAACTCTCAACATCCTGAAGGACAAGACAAGCTCTCCTTCAGCCTGCTTTCAACACTTGCATCCATGTAAATAAAAGCAACACACCAAGATTCCAAAAGTTGGGGAGCACTAACAGGTACATGGTGGGAAGGACCTCATTTTCATCTAGTATTAACAAATTCGATCTAAGATCTTCATGTCCTAACTGACAATATTTTATGTGCTTTACTAATTGCTTTCCTCATTCCCTCATTCCTTTATTCTCTCTTCTTGGGTCTTCAACACTTTTTCTGCTATTACTTAAAGAGGGTATTAATGCTAAAAATCATCACTGGATGCCAACAACAGTCTCAAAAAACCAACTGATTTAAATGCTCTGGAGAAGCACCAAACAAAATAATAAACTAAAAAAATTTCTAGGCACTGAAGTGATGGAATTTCAGATTTCCAACTACTTTAGAAATCACAAAGTTCAGTTTTCGGTACCACTTTTCACCTAAGACTTCAGATACTGAGTGACCTGCCAACAATTACTAGTAAATTTTTTCTCAAGGCAATCCGTTGTTAGTTCTAAATCTTGTGCAACATTTTATTACCACCTTCCACCCCATACTGTCCTCAAAAGAATGAAAAGAAAGGAAGACCAAAGGTAAGCTTTGCTCAAGAAACCAATGGGCAATCACAGCAGCTTTGTCCATTTATCCATCTCCTACTGCCCCTTATGGAAATAAAAATCATTCCCGGAGGTGCTAATGGCAAAAGGACACAGGCAAAGTTAAATTAAGTACACGGATAAAGGTACCAGTGATAAGGAAGGGAAAATAAAGTTAATGTTAAGACCCATACTCCTCTATTCTTTTATGGAAACAATTCATACAACATTAAATGACAATGTGGTATGACTAACAAATCCTTATTTTTGTAGGTACTGACCAGAATGTATTATAGCTCTGAGTTAATATTTATGAGACCAAGGAGAAAAATAGAAAGAATTGTCATACAAGATGCTCTAGGTAAGCAACTAAACAAAGGAGAATTCTGTACTCTCTTATGGGCATAATATATTGCAAATATGACTTCAAAAATTTTTGCTTAACCCATAAAGAAATAGCTTGGGTTGATTCTACTCCCACATAAGTACATAAGCCAATCATCACAAAATCTGAAAAACATGCCTACTAAGAAATAGGTCTTCTTATGAAAATACTAGTTATTTTACTTAATTTTCATTTTAGCACTAGATAATATACATAACAAAATGTGACTTGCCTCCCATTCCAGGATTTCTGGTTTTGAACAAAAGGAATTTTTACAGTAGTTGCATTTCAACTGAATATCACTTGGTGCTACAAATTGGCCATTTGGAGATGACTGCATGCTTAGAGCCTAAAATAAAAAATAAAATAGACTGAGCCTGGCGTGGAGAATTACTACTTATGATTACTATGAAAAATCTAATGTGTATAGAAAGTCATATATATCTGTTAAATATTGTTGCAGCACACAAAACTATATTTCTGAATTTTGTTTTTAAAAATTATGCTAACACACTGTTTTATACAATTGAAATTTATTCTTTTTATACCAAAGGATTACTATTTACCTAAAATTTTAAAATATATACAGGAAAAAAGAAAATACAATTCAATTATGGTTTATCTTCACTTGAAAATGTAAACAATAATATTGAGGTTAATTGCTCAAGTTCTGAACTAGCAAATAAAAGAAAGAAACCAAAAAGCCACAAAATTTAAAAAAAAAAAAAACAGGTCTTGTTTTCTCCAAATATCTAATTTACTAATGATCTGTCTCACTGCATCACTACCTTAATTTTCATTTCAAGTCCATCAGTGATGTTACAACCTATGTTACTATTCACACTAGGAATTTATTTATTTTAGCTTTTTTACTTAAAAGAAAAAAAATTTTAGTTGTAGATGGGACACAATCCACTTACTAATTTATTATTTATTTATTTAAAATGTGGTGCTGAGGATTGAATCCAGTGTTCCATGTGTGCTAGGAAACACTTTACCACTGAAGCTACAACCCCAGCCCCTTATTATTTTTCTTACAGTTAAAACAACTTACAGATTAAGATAGGACACAAGCATAGATGTTTTTAAACATTATTTTCTAATTCTTAATCTGAGTGGTAATTAAACTGGTATATAATTAACATTCTTTTGAGCCACATCACATATTACACATACATATTATATATAATCTGAAGGTACAGTGGAGGGAAAGATCTTTTTCATTTTTAAACATCTGTATGCACTACAACACAATTAAAGTCTGTAGAAAAAAATACAATATAGCAGATTTAAGACATTAGTATCAGGTGAATACTAAAAGTAAAATGAAAAAAAAAAAAACATTATCCTTAGAGGTACCAAAAGAATTGAACCTCCTCAAGGTTAACTATTCTTTTAAAACAAATGGTGTACATTATGGTCTGAATGTCTACAATCCTCCCAAACTCAGATATTGAAATCCTAACTTTCAATGTGACAGAATTAAGAGGTGTTTGGGCCATCCTATTGATTTTGTTAGTGCCTTTAAAAACCATCTAATAAAGGAGCTTGTTTACTCCTTCAACCACATGAAGACATATGAGAAGACACCCCACTGAGAAAAGGGCCTTCACAAGACAAAAATCTACCACAGCACTATCTTGGAATTCCCAGCCTCCAAAGCTGTGAGAAATACATTTCTGTTGTTTATGGCCTATGCATATTTTGTGATATTTTATATATATATATAAAAATATTAAAATATTATATTTTGTTATAGCAGCCAAAGAATACTAAACTGTTCTCTTTCAAAAGGAAAAACACCTAATAAAGACACAAAGTTCAAATACATGGTTTGCTTTCAAGATTAAATTAAAAAAAAGTCGCCTTTCTGTTTAACAACTTTTTATTATTCATATGCCAACAGCAATAAGGCTGTATATAGAATTATCTGGACGCAATCTTCAAAATTAAGAGCCTAAATTAAGTATTTCTTTAAAATATACAAAGACAGGGTTATATCAAATCATATAGTTTCAATTAAAAAAATTAGTTAAAACATTTTCAATTACCAGTTCAGTTTACCCAACATCAAAAAGACAGTTTAACATCTGACAGGCAGCATACACACTGTCCTTTTCTCCTTGAATTAACCATTATTCCTTAATTTCTAGTTAAGAAAAGCTAAGCAAAAAAAAATTACTAAAAGAACTTATCAAATGGCCATGATCTCAACTTCTAAAATAAAAGTTTAGTCTTGAATGTGACTTATCATCTTAATTTAGTGAGTATATAACTTAACAAAAACATTCACTTGGCTGAATTCAAAGCAACCTAAAATTAAATGAGTTTATAACTGTTGCAGTAACTATTGTAACATACTTAAGTGACTATATTTTCAGGTTAATAAACATAGAGCACAGTACCTGGAATAAAGTAGAATGTTGGATGAATAAACTCATGAAGCATGGCTTTATGCACTGGTTTGAATCTTTGGGCAATACCCTGAAATTTTCACATACAACAGGTAAACCTACTAGTACTACCTAACTAATGCGTGACTCCCCTCTAAACTATGCCTTTCTTTCCAGTGGTCAACAAGGTTAAATCAACACTATCTCCTGAGATTATCCGTATTCCAACTCTGAAGAACTATGTCAGAAAGTACATTATATTTACCAACACAAAATATGGCTCCCTGAAATTGATCCTATATTACATTTCCAAGCTAAATAAACCTACATACTTCACTCATCACAGAACAGAATTCCCCTTCAGATTCACATTTTATTCAAACCATCTAATAGGAAAATACTGTATGTACATGGAGCAATGAGTTCAACTATATTAAAATTTCTTTTCCTTTTAAATGAGTTCAACTATATTAAAATTTATTTTCCTTTCTATTATTGTAACAATTCAAAAGTCAATCACATTCTTGTGGGTGAAAGAAACTGGTAAAGCCAAGTCTTCTATGACTCATTCTAGAATCTTCACCCTCCCATTTGATCCTCAAAAAATCTATATAAAAATTAACAGATAACAAGGATAAAAGAATATTGCACTGATTATTTTCTATGCGTATTTAATTGGGGTTGGGGGTTATGCAAAATAAATAACAAACCTGAAACTTAGCCACACAACTGGAATTGCAAAAGTTATACAGTTTTCCATCAGGCATTGTGGCTTGGTATTGAGGTAAAGAGTTTCGCTTACAAAAATGGCAAATAATTCCCAAACCTAGGAAAGAAAAGGTACATATCTGATTTCTTTATAAAGTAATAAAAGTTTTTTTTAAACTTACAAATGACATTTAAAATCCTAAAAATAGAATCTCCTATAAACTATTTCTTTTATATTTGTGCCTTAAATATTCAAGATTATTTTTTAAAATACTGTCATAAAAAAGACTGGTATTATCTCTCACACATACACATATACATCAAAATTTTTGTTTTAGATAATTTTTGGATGGAACAACAATTTTAGCTAAGACAGATATGAAGAGTACTTCAATAAACTGGAATGATCAAATAATTACAAGTTTGCAGTAAATGGTATGATAATAATAAATTTAAGTTCAAAAAAGTAGTTTAAAAACAAGTATAAAATCAAAATTATAGAGCAGTTACTTTTTGAGGAAAAAAATTAAAGTTCTTTAACTTTTCAAATACCTGAAACTTACTTTGTGATTTTGCATATTTTGTCTTGTGACTATTCATGCAAGCGGTTGAACAATATGGCTCCATATATCCATTAGGACCTATACACTGAGTCATATCAAAAAACCTGCACTGAGTTCGGCATCCAGTACAAGTTGTCAGTTTTCCATATTTCTAAAATGTAAAACATAAAAAGGTCATTTTTTTAAAACCACATATGAACTAAGAAAAACATAGTCCTATTTCTCATTACATCTTTCATCTCTATAAAACACTTTTGTTAATCTCTTATCAGTTTTAGAAGTCTTCATCTGGATTCAAAGAATTTGCTGCAACAATTGCTATATTAGGTTCAAACCAAGAATGGTTGTTAGGTAACTGTTCTTCAAAAATGTTTTCACTAACTTAGTTTAACAGAATCTCTCCATACAGATAAATAAAAACTGAAAATCTAGAAAAAGCAGGGTTTTTCTTTTTAACGCTTCTTTTATTATTTGACAGAAGAAATTAAAGACTTAATAATCAAAAGTACTTCAAAGCAAGAATTTGAAAACTTTTAAATCCTTTTTCCACTGAGCAACTATGGTTCCAAGTTTTGTTTTTTGTTTTTTTTTGGGGGGAGGAGGGGGCGACGGAACGTAGCTTAAAAAACGATTAAGCAGCCAGGCACACTGGTACATGCCTGTAATCCCAATGGTTTAGGAGGCTGAGACAGGAGGAGGATCCAGAGTTCAAAGCAATTTAGTGATGCCCTAAGAACTTGTCACTAAATAAAAATATAAAAAAGGGCTGGAGATGTGGCTCAGTGGTTAAACGCTTCTGGTTTCAATCTCCAGTGTGCACACACACACAAACACACAAAAGATTATAATCATTTATGTATATGTAAAAACCTCATAGGTCATGGTAACATATAAAAAAATTTAAATGAAAAAGTTTAACATTCAAAATGATTTCTTATTATTAAAGTCAATATAATCAATTAGTAGATTATAACACTAATACTTTTGGCATGGAGAATTGATTGACAGTGAAGCAACTTGAAAGAAATAAGATAGAGTAGGAAAGTAAGACCAAAGAGGATACTTCAAAAATTACCAGGACAGGGGCTGGGATTGTAGCTCAGTGGTAGAGCACTTGCCTAACATGTGTGAGGCACTGTATTCAATCCACAACACCACATAAAAATAAATAAAGTTATTGTGTCCATCTACAACTAAAAAATATATATTTACATTTAAAAATTTACCAGGACAAAAGAAATACTGTGAAAATACATACAGTCTTACAAATATACAATTCAGATAAACTGGTATGTCTATATTTAAAAAAAAAAATTTCACAATCACAATTAAAAAAAACTATGGAGCTGGGCATGGTGACACACATCTAGTTTAGTTAGGAAACTGAGGCAGCAGGATTGCAAGTTTGAAGCCAGCCTCACAAACTTAATAAGACCATCTCAAAATAAGAAATAAGAGACCTAGTATCAAAAAAAAAAGGAAAGAAATGAATCAAAGCAAACATGAAAAGCAAGTTTTTAATCCATTTTGTCCATCGTCCCAGATGTGGAACACCTATAGAAATTGAGCAACAAATAAACCACTTATATATATGTGAAACTCTAAAATAATGTTTTTACAGTTCTAGTCTCTTAAAAAAGTGAATGATTTGATCATTTGAAACTATTTTTAAATTCATTGTGAAAATGCTTAAACATTACTGAAAAAGTTACTTCTAATGTTGAAATGAACAAAATATTATGTACACAGCTCATACAATATAAAAATGTATTCATGAAAGTATTTTCTAAAATGATATTATCATTTTATTTCAAGGAATGCATATATTTAAAATTATCATGGGGCTGGGACTGTGGCTAAGAGGGAAGGCACTCGCCTTGCATGCATGAGGCACTGGTTCGATCCTCAGCACCACATAAAGATAAAATAAAGATATTGTGTCCACCTCATAACTAAAAAAATAAATATTGAAAAAAATTTAAAAAAATAAAATTATCAATGCTCCAAAACAGCTGTTCTATAAATAGGAGACTGGGACAATGTATACTGCACAGTTATGTGTGATGTACTGCACTACTGCCTGACAAACTATGTGTTCCTACTTGTGGTTATTTGTGCTTTCATACATAAATTACCCTCCATAAGAAACTACTGGTCAATTGATGAAGATTTGGGTATATCTTTCATTAAAAATGCAGTGTCAAGGGGCTGGGATTATGGCTCAGTAGTACAGTGATCATCTAGCATGTGCGAGGCCCTGGGTTCGATCCACAGCACCACATAAAAATAAATAAACTAACTACTTCTAAAAAATAAATATTTAAAAACTTTTTTTAAAAAGTCCAGAAATCATTTAAAGAAGATGAAAAGATCATATACTTTTCAACAATAATGAATGGCAAGAGAACACTGAAGATAATGGTCTTAAAATTCATCTTCTAATAAATATGATTTAAAAGTCATGCATGAGGTCTGGAGATATAACTCAGCAATAGAGCATCTTCCTAGTATGTACAAAGCCCTGGGTTCAATCCCCAGTACCAAAAAAAAAAAAAAAAGAGTCATGCATGAAAGTAACTATTTTGAAGTATGCCTGACAGTGGATAAAATGATGTCAGATATTCCAAACACAATTCACTCAAACAATTTATAGGAGGTAAGTCCATAAGATTTGGTTATAATTTCTAAACACTGCAGTTATTGGGATATTGCTATAACATTAACTTGTACTGTGAAAAAGTGCTCAAAAAAGACCCAACAATGATCTTTTGCTTGGAAATAAGGGTGTTCTGCTGGAGGTATAGCTCAGTGATAGAATGCTTACCAAGCATGAGGTTGTGGATTTAGGTCCCCAGAAGCCACCAAAAACAAACAAACAAAAAGCCCACACAAGCAACTTCCATCAATATAAAGAGAAGAATAATTTTCTTAGCATGCATAAATAGAACACGTATGAGAAGATAGTTGCTTACATGGCAGTAATGTCCTTACACACTTAAATATCACCTAGAGAAGACCTAAGTTTTACTTTCCAAAATGGAAATTAACTCATTCTTCAATCTCTAAGCCTCAAAAAGAAACTTATTAACAGCAAAGAAATAGTAACAAAGAACAAATAAGAATGGCTATATAGACTGGGGTTGTAGCTCAGTGGCAGAGCACTTGCCTAGCATGTGAGGCACTGGGTTCAATCACATAAAAATAAATGTTTTTTTTTTTTTTCTCTTTAAAACAATCTAGTGTTAAAAAAGAAAAAATGGCTACAAAGATATCTAATTAAGATTCCATCAACAATACAAGGACATTAGAGAAAAATGCTTTGGTTTACTTCCTGAAGTCTATTTGATGACTTAAATATTTATGTTAGGCAAAGAACAAAAGAAAACAGATGGATACAATAATGGAAGAAATTTATTTAAACCTGAAACCACTGTACAAATTAAAAATACTAAAAATTAAAAAACCAGGACACTTAAAAATATGTTAAAGATTATATTGAGAAAACTAAACCAGCTCCCCCTAGACAGATATGCATGTGAGGCTTCCACATATCAGCACCTATGAAGAATCCTTTAACCAATACAAATGAAGCCCAACTATCAAATCTTGGCTTTGATGACTTTTTTTTTTTTTTAAGCAAAGTAGACAGTCATCACTGGATTTGTGATCCTGACACTGATTTTATTAGCAGAATTATTAATAATAGCTTTAAGACATCAAGTATACAAGGAACTAAGCAACTGTTCCATGTTGACAAATAGTACTTCTTATTCTCTTCAGAATAATACATAAAATGGATAAACTCAGAAAGATAAAATTGTTAGTATTAAGATTTCAACTCTTGTCACATTTTTTCCAACACTTGTCACTAGTTACCACTGTTCCAAAGACAAAAGGATCCTTAATGAGAGAACACTGGCACAAAAGGATATAAACTTTCATGCCATGTTTTCTTGGCTTCAATGTGAACAATCAAAGTAATCTATGTCTTGCAGACAACAGAAACATTCACTATTTGATACAGCTCAAGTTCATAAATTTTAATATACTTCAAATGGCACATGATTTTTTTCATACATATTAAAGATATTAGCAGTGCTTGAAAATATGCTTAACGTGAGCCTTAAACCCCCATCTGCTTACCTCAGGCTGCATTAAGAAAGAATCCTGCATGTGATCACGAACCTCCTTCAGGAAGCTTGGATGGCTACCTACCTAAAAAAAGATTTTAAAAGGCTTTACAAATACATATAAAGACTGCTAGACTAGATGGTAAATGAGAAATTTATAAGTTTCTTCTCAATTGTGACTTATAATCTCATTCCAACTCTAAAAAATGTGTATCAGTCTTATTCAAAGTGGCTATCCAACTTACAAGAATTATCAAATAATTTAATTCCTAGAAAAACTGATAATAAGAATATAATAATGGAGTAAGAAATTAAATATAAACACTTGAATTTGACACCTCTAATTGAGAAATATTTCTCTTAGATGGCTTAAGTGTATTCCAAGATCTTTTTAAAACATGCTAACTTATAATGAAATCTCAGTTTTCTAAAGTAAGTAACCTGGAGATTACAATTTTCATCATTTGCAAAATGGGTTGTTTGGGAAAACCTCTTTAAAACACATATGACAACTTCTAATACATAATGCAAATTTAAATCCTTATTCTTACAGAAAATAAGGAAGAATGCAGGTTCCCTGCTTTCCATGAAAGCTAAAACACTATGGTAGAAAAGGGAAACTATTAAAAGCAAGTCATAAGTCATACAGTTTCCATTTCCAGGTTCTACATTACTAATTAAATATATCAGAATATTCCAGAAACCAACTGAACAATGAAGACATAAATAAACAACAAAGGCAGCCAAATTAAATGCTAGAGACAAAGGTCAAAGATGGAAAATAAGATTATCATGTAATTTTAGTTTCCAGGCTGTAGGAAAAGAAAATTCACTGGTGCTTCTCATGGAGTGGTCTCCCAACCTGTCAAATTGGGTTCCTTTATAAGTAAAAATGTATGCAGATTCCTATTTATTTATGAATTATGAACATATAACATATGATGATAAAATATATGCAAACAATATTCTAAAGAATAAAAGATGGAATTCTATTTTTAAATAATTTTTATTTTAATTAATGATGGGGATAGGGGTTATAGTTAGGTAGTAGAGCATATACTTAGCATGCACAAGGCTCAGGGATCAATTTCCAGCACCAAAATGATGATGATGATGATGATGATGATGATGAAGAAGAAGAGGAAGATAGTACAGAATTTTTCTGTATCTACTAGAATAATTTGGTAATCATTGGAAGCCAGAACTCCCACACCCACTTAAAAATAATAAGAAGCTACCCAATCTTCTATGCTGGAACTTTGTCAACAAAAGATTTAAATAAAGATACAGACCCCCCCCCAAAAAAAAGAAAACCCAAAATGTTCCAAGTTTTAATCAAAACTCACTTATACCCAAAACTAGAAAACCACAATTTAAATTTAAAAATACAATAGACACCAACACCAAAAGTACACTGATTTTAGAATTACGTAACAAAGATTTTAAAGCAATCATCATAAAATCTATCAATAACCAAAACACACACACTTGAAAACAAATAAAATAACAGAAAATGTCAGCAAATAGAGAATATAAAGAAGAACAGTTAACAAACAGTGAACTGGAAAACAGAATAAAAGAAATAATCCCATTTGAACAACAGAGGGGAAAAAAACTGGGTAGGGGAGGAAGAGGTGGGGGGAGAGGAAAACAGGAGGAAGAAACTGAAGGGGCAAGAAAAGGAGGAAAGGACTAGAAAAGTCTACAAAAGAAAATATCTCAAACTAGGCAAAAGACATAAATACACAGATAGAAGAAGCCAAGCAAACTAGAAGTGATAAACACAAAGAATACCAAGATATATCATAAACTGCCGAAAACCAAAGACAAAGAGAACGTTTTGAAACCAGCAAAAGAAATAACACACCTATAGAAAAAATATAATTGGAATGGCAGCCTAGAGAAATGGAAAACATGGACAATAGCCATGTTACTAAAACATCTGTTATTAAAATGGTATATGAAGGTTGGGGATAAAGCTCAGTGTGGTAGAGGGCTTGCTACCTAGCATGCAAGAGGCCCTGGATTTGATCCCAAGCACTGCAAAGAAAAAAAGGAAAAAAGCAAAAACACCACACAATAGTGTGGAAAGAGAACATGAATTTAGAATCGAAGCAATAGAAAAAGTTGAGAAAGATTTACATAGAAATATGATGTAATATACAACCAAAGTAGCATCTCAAATCCCTGGGCAAAAGGTTAAGTAATTTTTACTTAATTATGTTCAATCAAGGAGAGACATTTTGAAGCAGTTAAAATTACCCATAACTCAACTATATTCCATAATGAATTTCAAATGTGTTCAAGATTCAAATATTAAAAATGAAGATTCCATACAATATCAAGAAAGAACCTCACTACACATTAATGCCATTTACTTTAAGTTTATAAATAAGTCAACCTATGATGTCAGAAGTCAAAGACAGTGGGCCCACTACTTTTGAAAAGAGAAAAGGGGATAATAAAGAAAGAGTTGAAAGGGTTAAAACTAAATATTCTGTCTTCTTGAAATAAAACATGAAAAGCACAGGTCTGATTTTTATAACACTATGATACAAGGATTAATATATTCCCCAACTTTACATGTGATGAAAAAAGACACAGGGAGGTTAAGTAATTTCCATAGACCACACACTTGTCAACAAGCGGGACCATAATTTTAACCTAGGTCAAGTAACTTTAAAGTCAGCACACTTAACAAACTTTCCAGGTGTCAGAAGTTAAATGCAACATTATCAACAACATTAAACAGTATGGTTAACCTTGGGGATTATAGTTTGATCCTTTCCCCTATTATATGGTCTTCCTTATGTACAAGAATTGGAAGAATGCCACTGTAGGAAAGTTAATGGTATGAAGGCAGTAACTATGTCTGCTTCCTATCTCAGAATATTACACCGAGCATCCAGTGCAGCGTCTGGAACACAGTGACTGGTGAATAGTATCACAGACAAATTATAGATTTACTTTTTACATTATACATTCAATATAATGGAAAAAAATTAAAGAGATCAAATAGCAAAAGATACAAACAGTTCACAATAAAGATAGCTCTGAAATAAAAAAAAAAAACTGCTATCGTTCCTAGTAAATGTAAATTAAAATTACACTGAAGATACCATTTTCAATCAGAATAAAATGTTAATATTCCCTGTTGGTGAGTTTATGAAAAACATATTGCAGGGCTGGGGGTTGTGGCTCAGTGGTAGAGTGCTTGCCTAGGACACATGAGGCACTGGGTTCGATTCCCAGCACCACATCAAAAATAAATAAATGAATAAAGGTGTTGTGTCCATCTACAACTAAAAATATTAAAAAAAAAATTGTGATTGTGTGTGTGTGTGTATGGGTGTGTGTGTGTGACATATATATATATAGATATATAGATATATACACACACACTAATGTGTATACACATACATACACATATTTCCATACAATAGATGGGAAAAATATCCCATATGTTACTGAAAAGAAAGCAAACTGGTAGACTCCGACAGAGGGGTTAAAATATCTAAAAAACTTGGGCTGGGGTTGTGGCTAAGTGGTTGAGCAGTTGTCTAGCATGTGTGAGGTACTTGGTTCAATTATTAGCACCAAAAATAAATATTTTTTTTAAAAAGGCCCATCAACAACTAAAAATTTATATATATAAAACAAACTGACATTTACCAATCAGTCTTTCTTCTAAGAATCTACCTTCAATTCATACATTTTCAAATGCAAAGAAAAGTAGATACCATGTTATCCATCATCCACTATTTGTAACAGGAAAAGACTGAACATAACTCAAATACCATCAACAACAAACTGATTGAACAAACAACCAGGTATTATCTTACATATGATCAATCAAAGCTCTTAGGGGTGAAGAAAAATGTATTTACTTAATTTAAAAAAATAAGAAACATAACATTAAAATTAAAAATATTTAGAAAAGAAGCACAGGAACCACAATTTGCTGTAAAAACACTCCCACTATGGCCACCTAAGGCTACCAACATGGAATTGGAAAGAGATATACACAGAAGCACACAGTTCTATATAATATTTCCATTATACAAATATATTGAATAGTACAAAACCTTAAAAGCACAGATAATACTAAAATGGAATAAAATTAGAAGAAAATGTAAGTTGACTATTTTTAGTATTACTAAGGACTGAAATATGTGTGGTCCCCTTCATACCCACATAATTCCTATCTTAAAACCCAAAACTCCAATATCTTAGAGACAGGAACTTTAGGAAGGTAATTAAAGTTAAACAAGGTCATAAGGATGGGCCCTAATTCAATAGGACTGGTATCCATTCAAGAAAAGTCACCAGAAGGCTCTCTCTCTCTGTCTCCAAATAAGGAAGAGGCCTCAAACTGATGAAGAAAGCAATTATGATATCATCTCTTTTTTTTTTAAACATTTTTTAGTCATATATGGACACAATATCTTTATTTTGTTTGTTTTTATGTGGAGCTAAGGATTGAACCCAGTGCCTCACGTGTACGAGGCAGGAGTTCTGCCACTGAGTCACAACCCCAGCCCATATGATACCATTTTGATAACGTCTTTCAGCCTCCAGAACTGTGAGAATACAAAATACTATAAACTCACCCCATCTGGGGTATTTTGTCATGGCACCCCTAACACTAATACAAATAATTATCTATTAAGTTTCTATAATTTTTAATAATGGACTCAAAAAATTCCTATAAATAACCATGCTGCTATAAAAAAGAATGAGGAAGAACTACCTATGTTATTGATAGTAATTGATTTCCAAGATACACTATGAAGTGAAAAACGGAAGCCGAGAATATACATATACTAAGTTATCTTTTCTACAATAGAAATATTCTAACAATGAATTATGTATTTCCTTAATTTTTTTAAAAAAAGTAAGAAACATAACATTAAAATTAAAAATATTTAGAAAAGAAGCACAGGAACCAAGAGGAGAAAATAAAATTGAAATCTAAATTTCTCTGGAGTATATCTTTTTATGTACATTTTACTTTTAACCCCCACCACACACACATACATATACACACACAAATTCAAAAATAAACTAAAAACTTTAATATTCAAGTAAAAACAAGATAATCATTCCTACGATAAGCTTTAACAATTTCAAAATTCATACTTCTAACCTCTTTCCAACTCCACAAAAGAAATTCAAAAGAGAAACCCGGCATGATAGTACACCCTGTAATTATAGGTTCTCAGAGACTGAAGCAGGAGTATACCAAGTTCCAGGCCAGCCTGGGCAATATGTTGAGACCCTGTGTCAAAATAAAAACTAACATAGCTGGGGCTGTAGCACAGTACTACCCTGGGTTCAATCACCAGTACTGCAAAAAATTTAAAAAGAGTAATCATACTGCTGACTGGAGTTGTAGCTCAATGGTAGAGGGCTTGCCTGCATGTTTGAGGCACTGGTTCAACTCTCAGCACCACATGCAGATAGATAGATAGACAGATAGATAGATAGATAGATAGATAGATAGATAGATAGATAGATAGATTAGATAGATAGATAGATAGATAGATAAAAGTCTACTGACAGCCAAAAAAACTTTTTTTAAAGAAGAGTAATCATACTAACATTTACCATTATAAATAAAATCATAAGTTTATTTATAATAATCTATTTGTATTTTTGGCATCAATTTGAGGCAGACTGTCATCATGATGACACAATAGTGGAATTAAGTGAGATTCCAAGATATATCTGGTTAACAAATGTAACAACACTATAGCACTTTCAATACATTACAATGAATACCCAATTTTTAATAGTATATGAATTACCTGTTTGTATTCACTGACACAACTTTGACAGCAAAATCTTTTCTGCTGACCATCAATCACCAGAACATTATTTCCAGCACCTTTACTGGGCAAATATTCTCCACACTGTTCACAGCAATTCATTATTAGACCATTGGCCATTCTGTATCTATTAAAGCAGTGGTCACTGCACAGTTTATGAGTCATATTTTTAAAGCTAACTTCATGGCGAATCTGAAAGAAAAACAATAAACAGAATTTTAAAAAACAAACTCGTAAACCTTGGTCATGTTCCTGGAGCAATGTTTGTCAGGTTCCTACCCTGAAAATTTAATTTGCACCCCCCAACTCCCAATTCTCTATGGTACTCTTTAGAAGGGATTCACTATGCTCAGGCCACAATTAAGTGCCAATAAAATGATGACTGTAGTGCAGCAAATTAGTATGTCCCTTATCTTACATTATCATCCATTTTGTTTGTGTTTGTGTGGCAAGAGCAACTAAAATGTATTAATTTAGCAGGAATTACAAATACAGTACAGTTTTGTTGCCTATAGTCCTCATGTTGAATGTTTTTAGCAGACTGAGGTCTCTGAAAACTGTGAATGCCAAATAAAAATTTCTTCTTCCTCAAAAAAAAAAAAAAAAAAAAACTCGTAGGCAGGCACAGTGGCACATGCCTGTAATCCCAGGGACACAGGAGGCCTGAAACGGGAAGATCAAAAGTTCAAAGCCAGCCTCAGCCTTGGTGAGGCACTAAGCAACTCAGTGAGACTCTGTCTCTAAATAAAATACAAAATAGGGCTGAGGATGTGGCTCGGTGGTGGAATGCCTCTGAGTTCAATCCCTAGTACCCTTCCCTGCCCCAAAAAAGCATACTCGTGTTCAAGTAACTAAATAATAAGATGATCCAACAGAAAAAAAAGATGACCCAATAAGGCTTGTTTGGGGAAAAGGAAAAATAAAATGCATTTCTTTAAAACTATTTTTACATGCCCAAGAACACACATATAGCACTGAAGAAGAGAAATCCCACCAGTAACATCACTATAAACTTTTCTAGACGTATATTAAAATAACAGAAAATAACCAAGATTGGATAGTGTTGATACTAACAAACATAGTAGGAAATTTCAAGTGACTCCAAAAGAATTGCTCTAAAAAAGGGAGGAGAGAGAGAACCAATTATTATGAATAATTCAAATGAGAAATGTATCCACAGTTTTCTTTTTATTTAGTATCATAATTAACAATATTAATTTACGAAAAAATATTTCCTTCCAGTTGGGGAAGAGGGCACATACTTTAATCCCAGTTATTTAGGAGTCTGAGTTGGAGGATTCCCTGAGCTCAAGCTCAAGACCAGCGTGGGCAATAGTGAGACCAGTATCAAAACACAGAAAATATTCTTCCATTTTCACTTCCCAGCAAAAGTATTTACTGTCTTTCCTGTATAGTCAGACAATTTGTTTAACTAAACATGTTACTAGACCAAAACAAAATAATCAACCACAATACTTATTTTTGTCTGTGACTGCTCCCAATCTCAGGAAAAAAAATAGGCAAGTAACATAATTTTTCCAAAGTCAGCACCTTATTGAAGAATGGGATTCTTAGATAATATACTCAATCTCAAGGAAATATACAGTTGATTTTTTAAAAGCTATATAATAGCTACTGGAGTTTAAAATAGTCCCAGCTAAAGTATAAAGTATAAAAATACAAACCTCTGTTAGTTTACCACAGATTGTACATCTTGATTTATTTAGAGTTCCTTTAGTAGGATTCTGTTTGTCTTCATAAAGAGACAAACAAGATGTACTACAGAATTCCTGGAAGGACTCACTTGAATCTACTTGAGCAACAATGGTTCCTTTCATCGTAGTTATATCTCTGAAAAATAAAAGGTACAACTTAAAGTCAAATTCCATTAGAAAACTGATGTTTTCATTTCCATAGATTGAATCACAGAAATCAAACAACTTTTGTATCCAGGAAATCACTTTTACTACTTATAAATTCTTGGCAATAAAATTTGAAAAGTGAAAACATCTTATACTATTAAATTCTTGCTACTGTGCAATTTTCTCCAAATTTAGTAGCAAGGCATTTAGATATTGGAAATAATAAAAGTGGCTATTAATTCCATGGAATTAATGTCAAGGACTAATTTATTGAGACTTAAGTTTATATATACTTATTGAATTATCCTCCCATGGGTAAGTAGAAAACATGAGACAGGAATATGACATATATTCAAGAGAAGTAACTGCAATCTTTTTTGCTTAAAGGCACAACCCCATTCTCCAAATAATGTTATCTACCATTCTACATAGCTCTCCCACTGCAATTAGAAATATTAGGAAATAACATTATCGATGAACCTTCCTTTAAAAGGAGGAAAATCTGAATTCCAAAACCCTCCACTGTAGTATTTAAACCTACTTACTATAAAGAAATATAAAAACTATAAATTAATTGTTTCCATATTTGAAGTTATTAAACATGTACTGAGCACTGAACCCTTTTCCAGAGTTCCAAGATCTAAAAATAGTATCACAGTCTTAGGCTGCACTAAGAAATGTCAATGTGGCTTTACCTTGTATATAATATACCATATTACAGTTATCTTTAATTAGTAAAGCTAGTTTAAAAAGGGAGGAGAGGATCCTGTCTTTCCTAGGCTAACAAAAATCTAGTACCTGAATCCAAAAACTATGATGATTAATGTGTTCAAAAGAAACACATATAAAACCCAAAGGTTTATAGATTTTTATTAATCTCAATCTAAATATACTATAAAATTTGACCCATTTTAATACAGAACTGTTCACACGTTTAGCTTATTTTTTGGGGGGGCGGGGGGAGTGGGGTACTGGGGATTAAATCCAGAGGTACTTTACCAATAAGCCATATCCCTAGCCCTTTTGTTTTTTGAGACAGGATTTCATTAAATTGCTTAGGGCCTCACTAAGTTGCTACGATTGGACTTGAAATTTTGATCATCCTGCCTCAGCTTCACTGGGATTATAGACATGCACCACCGCACAACAGCTTGCTTAACATTTTTATCTGCCAAAAGGAGCTAAATTCTTATAATTAATAATGTATTCAGTGGCAGAGTACTTACTTAGCCTGTGTGAGGCCCTAGGTTTGATCCCCAGTACCACAAAACCAAACACACAAAAATTTCAAAATAATGTAAATAACCATGTATGTTTACAAATTCCAGGAGTCCAAGTAATAAACTGTATTTATAAGCCACCTGGGCTTGATGGAGAAATTTCCAAAGCTGTTACAAATCTGAGCTTGATTTAAGATTCAAAGTAGCTTACCAATTCTTAAAACATAGCAATTCACCTTCAAGACTCACTGAAAATTTTCTTAAAATTTTACACCATCAATATTCAACCACATAGAATTGTGCTGAAAGATAAACCTTACTTTTTACACATAACACAGAGTTTCTTTGGAGCAGGCTTGTGGGAGAAGGAAGAAAGGCAGGTAGTAGAACAAAAGAGATGAGCTGATCCTTTTCGTTGATAAGCTGTCTGTCCCTTCTGTAAAGGTTTTTTGCAGTTTGCACAAGTAACTTTAACTGGTTTAGTGGGTTGCTGCTGGGCAGAAGGCTGAAAAATCTGTTTAGGAAGTGAGGCCACTGGTGATAAAGAATCCACCCCTGGTTGTTTCTGATTACGGGGAAATGATGCTGACTGGGAGATCCAAGAATCTGAAAAACAAAATGCACAAGGATGATTAATAAAATAGGTGTTTATACATATTGAAATTTACATCAGAAAAATAGTTTTGACTTCCTATTGTATACAAGTTTAAATGTTAATGAAGCAACCATCAAGTCTGACTCTTATGAACAATGCTTAGTATTCTTGAAAACTGCTAGTAATTTTAAGTGTTTCAACAACAACAAAGTATGTTAGGTAACATGTTCTTTAATTAGTTCAACTTCACCACTCCACAATGTACACATATTTCAAAACATGATGTAAATGCTAAAAAATATAATAATTTTTGTCATTTACAAAAGACTAGTTCATATTCCAGCTCCATTACTTGTAAAATTGTGATGCTAGTTAAATTATGTGTCTCACTCTTCTCTAAAATGGAAATGGTACCAACCTCATACAAATGGTAAATAGTAAAAGAGATAATACATGAAATAAAGCATAATGACCAGCATAGAGGAAGCACTAAAACAAATATTCATTAGTTATTAGGAAGGAAGTATTCATGTATTTGTGGAATGTTACTTTAAATAAAGAAAATATAATGAAATTTTAATCAAACAGGACCTTTAACAAATGAAACACAGGTCTGACAAGGCTTATATAATTATTTTCAAATATTTCTTTTGAGATGGGGGCAGGCCTTGACTTGATCGCCTGGCCCCAAGCAATCCACCTCAGCCTTCCAAGTGCTGGGATTACAACTATGCACCAACACACCCAGTTTCCAAACATCTTTATAAGAACAGTTTTGCCACACATTTAGTTTCATGACCTCTAAATATAGCACAAAATCTCAGAAGTTAGAGGATTAACACAGAAATTTTGGAGTTAAGCTTATGTATAATGACCAATCCAACAACAAATTACAACTACAAAGGTTCAACAGAGAACTGAGTTATGTGCAACTAATAATACTAGATGAATGAATTAGTCAATTCATTAAAAATCATTCAATTTTCTCTTTCGTGCTAACCTTCTTTAGTACTCTGAAGGAAGTCTCCAGCTTGCCACACTAGGTCCTGTTCCAAATCCCTGTCATAACACAACCAATACTATAACCTATCTTCAGTTCGAAAATGTTAAGCTATCAATTCTAATTGCTACTATTTTGATCTCTCAAATTCTTCCCTTCTCATTCTTTCTGAATTTTGAACTTCCATACATACATACAAGCTGTACTTTCATAAGAAATACAAACATAAAAAGAGCTTGAAGACACTCCAACCCATTCCATCAACCTAATAGTTTCAAGCGACTACACACTGCCATTCAGATTTTAAGTCTACAACAACCCTCCAAAAAAAAAAAACCACTTTTATTCAGAGTAAACAAGTACATTCTGGAATCCCAAGACTATCTTGCTACAATCAAGGTAACTGACTAATTTTAACAAACAGGCAAAAGTACTCATCAACAGAAGAAAAACAAGCAATAAAAGAATGGGGAATTCCATGTTTACAAAGAAATCAAGGCCTTCAATCAAAAATTACGCTTTAGTGCATGCTGGAATTTTGCACGCTTATCTTTTAATACATACCTTAAAAAGTTTACTTAAACTTAAGGGTATCTACTCCCTTGATTTTGGAAAAAATGGCATTTTCGGTTTTTTCAGTTTAGCTGTAAGCCCTGTATAAATAATAAAATGGCTTCCTTTATCTACATTTTAGCCTTTACATCTCCCCTACTTTCACATTTTCACCTCCTCCAGCAATAAAAAACAATTTTTAAAAAAGAAGGAACATAAAAAAAAAAAAAAAAAAAGAAGGAACATAATCTTTGTCTAACCCCTCCATTCCACACAGAGACAAAAAGGAATAGCAGATAAATTTGTCCAAGTCACAATTTGTCCAAGAATCAGTACAAATAGCAAAGATTTTATAACTCTTAATTTATTATTCTCTATTAGGAATAAAAACAGCCTATAAATGCAAGAGCAAGAAATATATTTGTATACATTTTTCTCATGAGTATTTCCTTATATAAGAGTTTGAGCAATGCTGGGCACAGTGGCGCACACCTGTAATCCCAGAGGCTCAGGAGGCTGAGGTTCAAAGTCACCTCAGCAACTTAGTGAGGCTCTAAGCAACTTATTGAGACCCTATCTCTAAATAAAAAATAAAAAGGGCTAGGGATGTGGTCAATAGTAAAGCATCCCTGGGTTCAATCCCTGGTACCAAGGGAGAAAGAAAAAATGAGTTTGAGTAAATAGGAACACAATTCTATTTTTCTTTTAAACATAATTTTAGTTGTAGATGGACACAATACCTTTATTTTATTTATTTATGTATTTATTTATTTAGTGGTGCTGAGGATAGAACCCAGTGCCTCACACGTGCCAGGCAAGTACTCTATGTCTGAGCCACAACCCCAACCCATGAATACAATCCTTATGATGATATTGGTCCCTTTTACCCAACAATATTCCTAAAGAAAGAAATATCCCAAGATACATGTATAAGAATATTCTTGCTGGGCATGGTTGACACACCTGTAACTACTGGGAGACTGAGGCAGTTGGATCACAAGTTCAAAGCCAATCTCAGCAACTTAGCAAGGCCCTAAGCAACTTAACAAGACCCTGCCTTTAAATAAAATAAAAAAGGGCTGGAGATGTGGCTCAGTGGTAAAACACCCCTAAGTTCAATTTCTGGTATCAACAACAAAAAAATCTGCCAGCCTTCAAAAATGAAAATAATTAGCAAAATGCTAATTAAAGTTAAAATTAGGCAGTCAAAAATAAATATAAGGACTAATCAAGTTGTATAAATATGTGCAATCAATAGCCCCTAACAATGGTTTAAAAAAATTAATGAGGAGGAGGATATGTGTTTGACTTTCTCCAAAAGTTAAGACAGGAAATAAAACTTTAGCCAAATCTTTAAAAAACATGAATAATAAAAACACAGAGAAAATAGAACCAAATCTAAATGCAACTTATCACACAATTGTTCTTTAAGGGTGTTCTTAATCCTTCTGTTGCCTAATTTTACATATTAAGTCATTAGTAAAAATTATTAGCAAACAATACATAACAAAGTTTCTAGCAAATAATACATATTAAGATGCCAAAGGCAAAGGGTATTATAATCTTTTAAGCATAAATCACTGATTAATTTTCTAATCTGCAAAAAAATACTTGACATGGTTTTACAACTCTTATTAGTTAAAATTTCAAACTTAAAAGAACAGAATTAACATATTTTACATGAAGAATCTAAACAAGGTAGTACCAATTACAATAATAAAAAAAAATTAGACAAAAATTTTAATTCATTTACATGAGGTAGAATATCACTCACTGCTTACCAGGATTATGATGAGTTGCAGATTCTCCATTCTGAAATACATCTCCTGCCACATTCATTCTACCAGGATTAAAAGGTCCTACTCCAGTCTTGGTCTGTGAAGTTAAAGATGGGGTGTATGTTTGTATATTAACACCAAAATTACTTGTCTGCAGTCCGTTAGAGACATCTCCCAAGTTGGTATTCTGCAGTGATGTTACATGTGTAATCATTAAGTTCATATCTCTCCCGTCAGTATTTTCTAATTGGCCATCATTCACAGAGCTTACACCTGTTTCTAAGGTGGTAACATTAGCAATTTGAATTTCAGAGTCAGGTTCTGTGGTGATACCACTATTACCCATTCCTGAATTTACCTTACTTCTTGAAAAACTGGAAGTAGAGAAATCCACATCATTGGTTCTATTTTTAGTCTCAGAAGGTCTCCGTTCTATAAAATTGGAGGAATTTTTTTCTTGCCCTTGATTTGTTTCCATGTCCTCTTCGTCATCGATGACAATTGTCTCACTTACACTTCCCTTCTGAGAAGCCAACTCTTTTGAGGAAGAAATAATTTTGGAATCATTTCCTTGTAATTCTTCATTTTTTGATGAAGTAAATGTTATGTTTCTTTGATCAGTTACCACTGGTGCAGAAGGTGGGGGAGGTTGTACAGGTTCAATAAAAACAACATCATCGTCGTCTTCCACTGATGAGTTTTGAAATTTATTAGATCTAGACACTAAAGGATTGGGTGGACCACTAAATGAATTTCCTACATTTGTGAGACCAGTTGCCATGGCCGTACTTCCCAATAAAACAGGAGTCTGCTCAGTCAGTTCTAATGCTCCCACTGAACTTGTGTCCATGCCAAAGAACCTGTTGGAAAAATAATAAAAACATCAGACTGTGACCTTAGTTATTAAACTAAAACCAATTTTTTGGTGGGGGGCAGAGGAATTACTGAGGTGAACCCAGGGGTACTTTAACAATGAGCTACATCCCTCTTTTTGGGGTAGGGTACCAAGGATTGAATACAGGGGGCATTTAACCACTGAGCCACATTCCCAGCCCTTTTTTAGATTTAATTTTGAAACAGAGTCTCACTAAATTGCTGAGGCTCTCCCCATTGGGATTACAGGAGAGTGTCACCATGTCCAGCAGGAAATCTTTTTTTTTTTTCTTTGTTTTGGTGGGAAGGAAGTACTGGGGATTGAACTTGAAAGCACTTCCACCACTGAAACACATCCTCAGCCCTATTTTGTATTTTAGAGACAGGGTCTCACTGAATTGCTTAGAGCATCACTTTTGCTCAGTCTAGCTTTGAACTCCCAATCCTCCTGCCTGAGCTTCCTGAGCTGCCTGGGATTACAGGAGTGCCCACCACACCTGGCTCTAAAACCATTTTTTAAAGGTACTTGCCCTCCCCCCACCCCCCACCAGCCTCAGTTTGGGGACTGAACCCAAGAGGACTCTATTACTATATCCAGCCCTTTTTAAATTTGGGGACAAGGTCTCACTAAATTGACAAGGCTGGCCTTGAATATTTGATCCTTTGCCTCAGCCTACCAAGTAGTTGGGATTATAGGCATGCACCACCACACCTGATTTATCTTCTTTTTTTTTTTAAAACAATACTTTTATTTATTTATCTTTATGTGGTGCTGAGGACCGAACCCAGTGCTTCACCCATGCTAGGTGAGTGCTCTACCGCTGAGTCACAACCCCAGCCCCTCGATTATCTTCTTTATAAGTGAAAATGCTCACAGAATGATCCATTCTGTGATCTTCTCAATTAGCCATTTCATATAGCTTACGTGTCAACTTCTACAGGAAAACAAAACAAACTATCTAATTTTCTGTAACCATGTGTTAAGTCCTACCACTACTATCTCCTTTCCAGGGTACACATTTACTCTATATCAACTTATTACTGAAAATGTAGGTAAATCATTCCACAAATTAGACAGGGAAAACAACCAAAAACTAACAATAAAAATAATCCTTCAATACACATCTATCCCATTTATCCAATGAATAAAATATGATCTAATTCCTCACTTCCCTTATCTCATCATCTTTTAATTCCTTTTTCTTGTATTCCTTAGCTCCCATGTAACTGCACAGAACAATCTTTCTGAAAATTTGAAATTTCTGACTAATAGATGATGAGGTATTAAAAATTGTTAACTAAATGTCATAGCATTTTTCCTACTTTATGGACCACATAATTTATCACAAATTTTTAAGCAACCTTTTTTCTTTTCTAATAATGCTGGGGATTGACGCTAAATTTAAAATTTTTAAAAGCAAAATGATAACAGAAGTTTGATGATCAGAGAAACAACTCTTTAAGCAAATGACATTTACAGTGAAATCTGAAATAGCAAGAAGAATCGAACTATGGGAAAACCAGGCAAAAAAAAAAAAAGTTCCTGCAAGATGAAAAGAGAATAAGGTTGCCCGATTCAAGCAAAAAAAAATTGCTATTGTTCGGATATTGAATGCCCCCCAAAGCCCATGTGTTAAAGCCTTGGTCCCCAGTCCCTAGTACTATTAGAGGTGGTGGAACCTTTAGAAAAATGGAGCCTATTAAAGTCATTGGGGGCCCATGTGTTGAAGCCTTGGTCCCCAGTCCCTAGCACTATTGGGAGGTGGTGGAACCTTTAAAAAAAAAAAAAGGAGCCTATTAAAGTCAATGGGGTACACCCTTGAAGGAGACGCTAGAATACAGGCCCTTCCTTGCTCTTTTTTCACCTCTCAGGCACCAAGAAGTGAGCGGCTTCCTCTGCTCCACTTTCCCACCATGATATGCCTCATTCATCATGGACGCCCCCCCAAAAAAATGGTCCGACCATGGACTGAAACCTCCAAAACCATGAGCCAAAAGAAAACTTCTTCTCTTTTGAAATTGATTTATCTCAGTATTTGTTATAGTAAGAGAAAGATAACTAACAAGAGTAAAGCCAATGTTGCTACAACTAACTAGGAGGGGAACTGGGCACACGCCTGTAATCCCAGTGGCTGGGGAGGCTGAGACCGGAGGATATTGAATTCAAAGCCAGTCCCAGCAAAAGGGAAGCACTAATCAACTCAAGTGAGACCCTGTCTCTAAATAAAATACAAAAAAGGGTTGGAGATGTGGCTCAGTGGTTAAATGGTTAAATGACTCTGGTACCAAAAAAAAAAAAAAAAAAAACTAGGAGGGGAAAAAGACGAAAGGAGGCACAGAAATAAGCAAAGAACAATTCACCACAGCAAACAAGCTGATTCATAATTACATTCAACAGATTAACAGAGCACCTATTATGTATCAGACTGTTTTAGGTACCTGGGGAAAAGCTGGTAAATAAAACAAGTAAATATCCCTGGCCTCAGAAAACATGGCAGATGTGGGGGCACTCAGGTGTGGTGGCACGCCCCTCTAATCCTAACAGCTCAGGAGGCTGAGGAAGTAGGTTCACCAAGTTTGAGGCCAGCTTCAGCAACTTAGCAAGGCCCTGTCTCAAAAAAAAAAAAAGGTCAGGAGCTGGGTATGTGGCTCAGAGGTTAAGCACCCTTGGGTTCAATTCCTGGCACCAAAAACAAAACATAGAATTCTAAAATAAATGTTTGCATTTTACTGTAGCAGGAAACATAGCCAACATCTATTGCTTAAAATAGGTTACTGAGCCAAGCGTGATGGTGAACACCTATAATCCCAGTAGCTCAGGAGGCTGAGGAAGGAGGAATGTGAATTCAAAGCAGACTCAGCAATTTAGCAAGGCCCTAAGCAACTTGGTGAGACCCTGTCTCTAAATAAAATACAGAAAGGGCTGGGTATGTGGCTCAGGGGTTAAGTACCCCTGGGTTCAATCTCTGGTACCCACCCCCCCAAAAAAATAAAAGTTCTCAAAAGTGAAGAAAGCTCCCCAAGACCACAGCCAGGAAGAATAGAGCTCAGGATTTAAATTGTCACAACATGCAATTAAGTATTGAACAATAATATAAGCCAATATGCAGCTCTTTTAAATTTAAAAGATGTAGCCACTCAATGAAACAATAACCAAATCAATATTCAAACCACACAGGCTTCAAAAGGAAGAAATATCAAGCCCAACGGACCTAGCCAAAAAGAGAGTTTTAAAAAATAATAAACTTGTAGTTGACATTCACTTCATAAGGCAGGAAGTATCTTGACCAACACAGCATTTTCAGAAAACTGAGACTTAGCCTAAATCTACAAATATTATGATATGTAGGCTTTTATTGTGTAAGTTATCTGGATCCTTCAATCCTTTCTGTGTTTCAGCATGCCTGAAACAGAATAAACCAATTTCTGGAACAGAAAAGTTATAACTGACCTAATGTTACCCTCTGGTGGCTACTAGGAGAGTTTAGTCTCCTCACAACAGAGACACAGAATAGATCTTTCCTTACCAAACAGTTAATTCTCTACAATTATATACTCAAAACAACATAACTGGGCTGGAGTTGTAGCTCTTTGGAAAGTGCTTGCCTCACACATGTGAGGCACTGGGTTCCAATCCTCAGCACCACATAAAAATAAATAAATAAAACAAAGGTATCATGTCCATCTAACTTAAAAAATTATAAAACAAAACAAAAAACATAACTCTGAAAGGAAAATCAAATCTTGACTGCAAATAAATCTAGTCACTGCTAAATGTCATTGAGAGTATGTCCTAAAACAACAGTCCAATTAAAAGTTGACCATCATTAACCACACAGAATCTACTATATTTAGTCACTTTTCTTTCTTGTGGTGCTAGATATCAAACTCAGGATCTTCAGCATGCTAGGCAAGCACTCTGAGTTACCTCCCCAGCCCTTAGCCACTTTTCTACCTCAATTCAATTCTAATTACCTACTTAACATTGAGCAAATCACTTCTCTGAGCTTTAATTTTCTCCACAGGAGGGAAGAATGGTTTACAGGGCTGTTCTTAGAACTCAAAGAGATAACTGAATGTGAAAGCCACTTAGCACACTCCTAAACAATCACTTATCTCCTGATAATTACCAGGCAACTTTTGCCTGTACCTCAGAATTTCAGTAACTGTCCAATTAATTTTTAGTTTCTTTATAATATTTCATCATCATCGTGCTTTCAAAGTTTTACTTGTTCTTTATTTTGCTTCAATGAGAATCAATTAACACAAAATTGTTCTCATGATACAACAACAAAAAGGTAAGGGTTAAAACAGAAATAGTGACATATTTATGAAAAGAAAATCTGAACACTTGTTGATAAAAGCTTATGAACCTTCAAAGACAAAAATCACAAAGAAAGTACTTCAAAGTGCTTAACATTTATTAATCACTTTCTCACAGCCTATCTAAAAGCTTTGTTGGTACCATAAAAGAATTACAAACGAAGCTAAGGTGAATTCTTCTGTATAGCAAAGAGTATTATTCAATATGTTTGCGGCACTATATTAGAGTTCGGGTCTCTATGATTTTAGTTTAACTTTGGGGGGGCAGGTATCAGGGATTGATCAGGGGCACTTAATCACTGAGCCACATCCCCAGCCCTAGTTTGTATTTTATTTAGAGACAAGGTGTCACGAGTTCCTTAACATCTGACTTTTGCTGAGGCTGGCTTTGTACTTGAGATCCTCCTGCTTCAGCCTCCGGAGCGCCACTAGGATTATAGTAGGCCAGCGCACCCAGTTTAAAAATTCTATTTTTATACACCTTTATTAGCCCTCCTAATAAGAATAAAAATTCCTTAAAAAGGTAGGAATAGACTTATACATAACTAGTAAACCAGAATATACCAAATTTAATGGGAAATACTAAAAGCATTATTATTAAACTCAAGAAAAAGATGACAGATGTGGTGGCACATGCCAATAATCTCAGCTACTCAGGAGGCTT